GTGTCAGGTGAGGCCTGAGAGGACCCATTCAGGGTGGTGAGGTCTTGATGAGGTCGATAGGCTCTGAATGTTTCTTTTTTTTTCATTTGAGGATAGGCTCTGAAGTTAGCCTCTTATGCTGGTTACTCAAGTATGAAAAAAGTCACTAACTAGAACAGGAAAATTCTACTTGAGACTCAAATAGCACATCCTTGGTTTACTCCTGTGAGAAGCACACTCTACATGCCTGAGTCCCTGCCATTAAGCCCTAGGGGCTGGGAGGGGAGCTGAGGTGGGGAGCTGTTCCTAGTCCCTCCTGCCCCTCCCAGCCCAAGTGGATGCTGGGAGACACCCAGAGCCAGCCCTAAGCCCCAGAGTAGGAAGGCTGCCTCCTGCCAGCTCCCGTCTCCAGATGGAGGAGCAGCCTCCATCCCCACCCCACTTGGCCCAGACCCCACTATCGTGTCACCATGTCACTGTATCAGCGAAGTTTAGGAGGCTAGATCGGGCCAGAGAAAGTTAATGGAAATGAAGTGGGGAGTTCTGAAAACATTTTAAAATGCGTTGAGGTGTCTGTTGTGAGTTAGGGTAGTTGGACTGACTAGAGTGTGGGGAGCTGGCTGGAGCAGGAGGTACCTTTAGGTTTATTCACTTAGTAATTACTGATAGAGCAGCCCCCAGTCCAGGCACTGTGCTTGGCACTGGGATGCACACAGAGATTCTCAGGATCTAGAAGGGGCTTGATTTGGTCTGGAGATCCCCTCCCAAGCCCCCACTGCCCAAAGGGCACTTGGCCATTCATTTATATCTTCTGGAAGAAACAGAGGAGTCTCAGCTTGCCATCCCAGAAGGCAGTGTCTGAACCAGGTCCTGATTTCCTAATGCCACGGCCAAACTCGTCTACAAGGGCCAGCAACTCCAGTGTGACTTGGACAGAAAGTGGGGGCGGGTGGGAAGGATGCTTTTACGGGTTTCCCAGAAGATCAGAGGAAGTGGGTAGGGACCGTGTATGGAGCAGCAGAGAAGAGAGGGGGAAACCCAGCTCAGAAGCAGCCCTCCAGTTTTCAAAAGGACTTGAAGTTAGCCACATGAGGGACTTTGCCAGGAGTGGATGGTGGCAGGAAGTGGGAGAACAGAAGGGCCTTGAGCCTCATTGTCTGGAGGCCTTTCAGATGGTTGCCTACCATGACAGCTTGTGCAGGCAGGAGGTGGCCTGAATGACCCCAGGAATCCGGGGCCTGGGACTAGAGCCCTCTTCTCCCACTTCAGATTCTGCTCTGATCCCTTCATTGAAAGGCAGGAAGTGGGAGAACAGAAGGGCCTTGAGCCTCATTGTCTGGAGGCCTTTCAGATGGTTCCCTACCATGACAGCTTGTGCAGGCAGGAGGTGGCCTGAATGACCCCAGGAATACGGGGCCTGGGACTAGAGCCCTCTTCTCCCACTTCAGATTCTGCTCTGATCCCTTCATTGAACAGGGCCTTCAGGAAGAGGAGGGGGACAGAAGCTCTCGCTAAAGGAGCTCTCCTTGGCCTGCATCTCCCTGCTTCTAGCTCAAAGGATCCTGAAACTCTTAAGTGAAGGAGATGGGATGGGGTGAAGGTGAGTAAGGGGCAGGACACGCTCTCCAGATGAGGAAACACCAGTGCCACCTAAGAGAAGTGCCCAGGATTCCATATCTTGGTTCTGACCTTGGTCTTTCTTGCTGTATATCTCTGTCCTCTATGGATATCAAGTCTGCCCTGTGCTTGCTAATATTCCTCCCGCTCTGCCTGAGTCCAACTCCCTGGAACAGTGTTCTGCACCATCCCTCCCTCTGCAGCCCTTTCCTCTTTCCCCTCCGTGGGCCAGTTCTCTGTCCTCCCTACCTTCCCCCACGAGGACCCTCTCATTGTGGCCCCCAGCTCCTGTCTCTTCCATCAATCAGCCTCTCTCTCTCAACCTTTCCATCATGTTAGCTTCGGTTGATTTAACCAGAAAACAACCCCCAGAATTTAATTCCATGGCCCTCCATTCCTATCTCGATCAGCTCATGTTTGGGAGGGGCTGTGTAATAAGGGGGGAGTGGGGGGGAATAGAGGGAAACTTGGCCTCTCAGAGTCAGGGGAAAAAAAGAGAAAATCATATTGATTCCCCCAATGACATCCATCAATCTTCTCCTCCCTGTTAGGGATTGGGGAGATTGGACACAGGCTCCGATAGGCTCCAGGGTTTCTTGGTCCCCAGGACTTTAAAGACAGAGACTCTGGTCTTTGCATCCACCCTCCTCCAGTTTCCCCTGAAAAGCCTCTCCAGAAGGTCAGTTACCTAAGTCCTCCATACCCTCCCCAGGAGCTTCTGGAATCCTGCCCCTTATCTTGTTCTTACTATTTCCTTTGCAGACTATCTGATGCCCCTGTAGTCACTTTCTCCTGGCTGGCTTATCTCTTGGAAGTTCTTCCTGCTGTCTAACTTCAAGTCATATTAATAAGGAAAAGGAAAAATCATTTTTCAGAACTCTAAAAGGAAAGAAACATAATAGGCTCTTAAAAATCCTTAGAGAAAAGGAGATTAGGTAAACTAGAAGTGTCATTTTATTTGACACTAAAAAAAGTCACAAATTGTGAAGATCCAGCACTACTGTATGAGCAGAGCAGAGGTCTGGGGTTCAGAAAACGAGGAGCGGGGTGGCGTTAAGAGTCAGAGGTTGTGAAGAGGGATTCTTTTCCAGGCCTGGACTCTATCTCTGCTGAAAGCTTCATGAGAGACGGGCTGACACAGTGGGAAGGCTAGACAGCTGGAAGGACTTCCACATAGGTTAACATCCCTTTTCCTGGAGTTGAAGAAGGGGTAGCCCTCCCACCAGTCTCCCTGTGGTCAGATATTTTAGGAACCATCTGCTCCAGAGGCAGGCTCTGGATGCAAAGGACCCAGTAAGAGACACGCCCTCCCTCCCCACCCCCCACAGGGGTGGAGGCGCATGGGAGGGGGCGCAGGTCCATGGTGCTGCCGGCCCCCAAAGGGTTAATGCTATTGTCTGAAAACCACCTCGGCTCCCCTGGGAGCTTGGAGATCCCGCTCTCATTTTAAGTAACCCTAACGCGTGTGATGAGTGAGGGGTCGTCACTGGGCAAGGAGGAGTGAGCCAGAGGAGCCAGACGGAGCACAGGGACCTGGCTGCTGCACCAAGGTAAGGTACTCCAGTGGCAGGTTTGCTGCTGGGGCTGGTCTTCTCTGCCCCTACCCCCACCCCAACTGTGGAGCCAGTTGTGGGGCAATTGGGTTGGGAAGGGGAAAAGTAGAAGACCCCAGCACCAGGTGGAGATGGGAGCTCAAGGGCTGCACTGAGCAACCTGAGAGGTAGCAGCGCTCTTCCAGCTGGGGGACAGCCACAGAGCCAGGTGTTAGGCACTTGGGCAGAGAGAGCCTTGGCACCTGCGGGAGGACATCAGAAAGACAGCAGGTCCAGCATGGCTGTAGGCTCTTCTCCCCAGATGGGCACAGCTGGGGCCAGATGTTTGCTCTTGGGGGCAGATACGACTCCTGGGACTAATGGGTGCAGTTGGATTCTGGGGGCTGAATGAATGATGTTCTCAGCCATCTCCCTGTCCTGTGGTCTGTGCACAGAGGGCGTTCTGCATCCCAGCAAGCTCACTGCTGCATCTGTGTGGCTGAGGTTGAAGAGCAGTGGGTGAGGGTTGACCATCAGCTGCAGGCAGGGGGTGGTGGGGGACAGTGTGGGCATCCTGTATGGGGATGGGAAGGAGCAGGAGCAGCAAAGGGGTACCAGGACGGGGAGAGCTAGGGTTGTGCTCCCCGCTGAGCTAGGTTGGGGTGAAGTGAATTGAAACCTCTGATAGGGTGAAGGGATTCTGTCCTATCCACCTGCCTTGCTTTCTTCCTCAGACTCTTGAGGTCTTTCTCAAAGAATTAGGACCAAGAAGTCCCAAGTCTGAGAGCCTGGTCCCCTGACCACGAGAGACCTTGTGATGGTGAGGGCAGATGCAGGCTTGCAGGCTGGAGAGGCGCAGGGAGACGATGCTCCCATGGCAAAGAGAAGAACTACTCCTCTCCCAGCCCCTTCCCAATGGAGACTAGAGGAGAAGGGCTGGGAAGAGTGTGGTGTCGCCACCACTCCACTCCAAGCCCCTTTCTGGCCCTGCCCAAGGGCAGTGGGCCCCACTGGGCATAGGGACCAGGACACATGGTTTGAGCCCTCTGTTGAGCTTGGGACTGTGTGGAAGTTGAAGGGTTCACGCTAAAATTGGGGTCGAGGTTGAGGCTGAGAGTAGACATGGGGATTGAGGGCTGGGGATTGAGTCAGAAGGTGTCAGAGGCCCCTGGCTAGTGAGAGCCACCTCAGATGCCTGCTGCTGAGGCTACCCACTGCATTCCTGCTCCCTGTACTCAGCGCCACACCAGCCCTGCCAACTCACCCAGCTCAGCTGATTGCTAGCAGCTTTCACTTCCTCTCCCTCTGGCCTGGCTCCTTGGCCACCTCAGCACCTTCTGGGAGGGGATTTCTTGTCCCTGGTTCGAGGGACAAAGGGAAGGATGGGGGTGTCCAGTCAGGAGGCTCCCCTGGGTCACAGCTGATGGGAATGGGGTGAAAGGAAACAACCTGAGGTTGCCACTGGGGGAAAGGCAAGGGGTACTGGAGGGATTCAGGGAGGAAGTAGGGAAGTGAAGGTGAGGCTAAGCTAGGAGGCCCGTGTTCAGCTTCCAACTCTGAAGAACGGGTGGGAGACAGGAGCAGGAGAGGAAAGAAAAAGAGAGGCAAGAAAAGAGAAAGTGACAATGAGAGACAGTAACAGAGGTAGCGAAACAGAGGTCTGGGCTGGGTGAAAAGTGGTGAGACAGAGACAACACTCTAGAGGAGGGAAACAGGCATCCCCAGGGAGACCAGACAGGGACAGCAACAGAGAGAGGACATGCGATCTGCAGACACAGGAAGGAAAGACAGAAATGGAGAGACCAAGAGAAACTGAGACAGAAAAAGGTGGACAATGGAGAAGAGAGAAAAGAGTGGGAAAACATGGGCAGAATGCACGGCAGTGGGCAAGGTTGGTGGATGGAAGTGGAAAGAGAATCAGTGAGAGGGAAGAGGAACAAAGAGTAATGAAGGGCAAATCAGCTAAAGAAAGATAAAAAGGTCAAACAGAGTGAACCAGTGACCTACAGGGGCCGGACACACAGAGGGATGGGTGCGGAGCTGGAAGCCGGCCTCCTGACACCCCACCCCATCCCCCAGCCCCTGGGTCCCTGAGGGTCTGTGTGAGGTGTGACTTTCCCCCTGACCTTCAACTGCCCTTTGTGACAGGTCTGGGGGTGGGGCCTGGGGGTGTCTGGGTTTGGATTTCTGCTGCACAGAGTTACACAAACCTTTTAAATCCCACGGTCCCCGGGGACCACAGAGACAACAGTCAGAGGCGTCTGCAAGGGGTGAGGGCTGGGAGGAGGGACTGGGCAGAGGTCTGAGACTGGGTGAGGGGACTGGGCAGTGGGAGCAGTCAAGAGGGATCCTGGGGAGGGAGAAGGAGAAGCAGGGCTGCTGGGGACCCATTGGGGAAGCATTTCTCAAGTGTGGGGCCTGACTGGGGAGGAAGAGCTGAGGCTGCAGGAGAGACGGGGCTCAGCCAGCACCCAGCATCAAGACGCCTTTGGGGCCTCTGCTACCATGTCCTTTGGTCATTGGAGATGGAGGGGAGGCTGAGGGGAGGGGAAGAAAGGGCCCTTCCCCCAAATTCCCCAAGGAAAAGGTAGCTGGCTTTGCGCTTCCCAGGTTCCCAGCCCCTCTTGCTCTTGCTGCTCCCTAAGCAGCTTTAACTCATAGTGTTAAGGGAGGTCTCAGGATTAGCCACTTTCCACTTGGGGCTGAGAACAAGAGGAGAGACCAGAGACTTCTAATCAGATTGGGGATCTGGCAGAGGGGTAGCGGATGCGCAGTTTGTTCAAGGCTAACAAGCAGCATCCACTTGGGGCTGAGAACAAGAGGAGAGACCAGAGACTTCTAATCAGATTGGGGATCTGGCGGAGGGGTAGCGGATGCGCAGTTTGTTCAAGGCTAACAAGCAGCAGAGAGGGGGTTCTCTCCCAGCTCTTTCTCTCCTCTGGGCTGGCTTCTCCACTCTGATCTTTCAGTCCCCTGGGCCGTCTTCCAGACTTCAGCTGAGTCCACGGCACCTGACTTCTGCAGCGCTGTTTCCCTCTCTGATTCACTCTCTCTCTCTCTCTCTCTCTGACTCTCATGGTCTGTATCTTCCTGCTGCCTGCTAGTTTATAAACAGTCCTATTTCCCCACTGAATCCATCAAGCAGTCACTGAAAACCTTGGTTTCGTCCAATCAGATTATGCAGTCAATCCCCTTCAGCCACTTAGAAGGCCCCAACAACAAAGTGACTTTGCATATTTTCAACATTGGTCTTGAACTCTCTGACTTTTTTCCCATATTGTATATGTCCTGTCTTTCTCACCCTTTCTGTATTGCTCTCGGCCCGTCTGGCTGGCTGTCCTCTGTCTTCCTGGGGCCTCCACTGATAGTTTTTCTGGCAAAGAGTCCCCATCACAGGTTTAGACTGCAGTGCTGCCTTCAGGGCCCAGCACCTCCTGCCAGCCTTGCCTCTGCTCCGAAGTTTCGTCCTAAACTTTTCTGCCCTGATTGACTGATTACAGCTCACAACCTGCAGTCAGACAGACCTGTTCCCATCCAGCTCCACCACTTGGCCAGGATCTTACGCAAGTTTCATAATCTTTTTGAGCCTCAATTTCCTCGGCTTGCAAAATGGAGATAAGACCTACCTCGAAGGGTTCTTGTGAAGAAGAGTCAGTGAAGTAACATATGGAAAAAAATGTCAAGCCCAGTGCTGGGTGTGTGACAGGGACTAATTCTTATTAACTAAAATCTGCAGAAGGTAAAATTTGCTTCAGACATTTCCTTTGGATCCAAGCCCTCGCTTAAGGCTTATTCCTATTGTTATCATTGTTATCTATATTGCTTTTATTAAATAATGACCTAGAACCTACATGAGTTGTAATAAACACTTATATTGCCAGGGGGATTGATCATATTATTAGTAATCAGAATGGTGGTGATGATGACAATAATAATGGATTGCTGCTATAACCCTTCAAGGAATACCAAGTGCTTAAGGGAAGCTGCTCATCATTCAAGATTGGGTTATGATTCTTTTTATTTATGGTTCTCCATACTCATCCTCCTCTAGGGCCACTGCCCTGGTCCTGCAGTGGGGGCTACAGGGGCTGTAGGAGCTCTGCAGAGCCATGGTTAGAGCTTCCCCAAGCTTTGTGTTTAGCCCACAGCACAAAGGGGAAGGACAGGGGGCCTGGAGGACAGGGAGGGGGAACAGAGGGGACTACCTCCCCCAGCCTTGGGACCATCACCATCAGAGTATGGATTAAAGTGAAGCATGAGGAATTAAGGTTAAGCACCAAGAACAGTTCTTGGACTTGAAAGTAGAAAATTGAAATCTGCTCCTCTCTGAATTCCCCAGTCAGCTCAGGGGCTCAGGCAGAAAAGGAAGAACTTGAGAGGAGACATTTGGCAGGACTTGTCAGCAGCGAGGGTTTCCACACCCAGAACGGGCAAGCTCCTCAGAGAATGGAGGATCCACGAGGGACTGTCACAGACTCAGAGAGGCTGGGGAGGAGGCTGCTGGCATTCTGGAAACTTGACCTCACCTATTGATACCACTTGGGTTTTGTATTTTGGGGTTTTCTTCTCTTTGCAGGTAGGGGAGAGAATGTTGGGAAACTACCTAGGTGGCTGAATATTATAAATCTTGATTCAAGGCCTTGCTTTCCATTCTTTCCCTTAAGAGCTGTACAACCTTAGGGAAGTTGCACAACTCCTCCTCCACCTCCTCTGCTACCCCTGTGAGGTTTCAGTGTATGTCAATTTCAATCCCTTAGCTCGGCACAAGGCACACTGTGTGTCTGATAAGTGAAGGGTTTTATCATTCTCTTCTTGCCAGATCCTAAATCTGCTCTGAGGTCTCAGATCCTTAAGACCAGGAAACACCATTGGATTCGGCAGGCACCAGGACAAGCCATAGGGATTCTATCAGCTTCCTCCAGGGAACAGTCTTCCCTTGGAATCTCTTACCTCTGCACACCTCACCCACCATTCCCCAGCCCATTTTCCTAAACTGAGGTAGGAGCATCTTTACCAGGTCTCCCCATGCTCCTGTGGGGCCTCGGGGAGGGCCTCCAGAGCAGTGGGGTAGCCCTCACACTCCCCTCCCCACACCAGGCCTGGCCTTCCCTGACTGGGCCTACAAAGCTGAGTCATCCCCAGGCTCCCGGCAGATCCAGCTGTGGCACTTCATCCTGGAGTTGCTGCAGAAGGAAGAGTTCCGCCATGTCATCGCCTGGCAGCAGGGAGAGTACGGAGAGTTTGTCATCAAGGATCCAGATGAGGTGGCCCGCCTCTGGGGCCGCAGGAAATGCAAACCACAGATGAACTATGACAAGCTGAGCCGGGCCCTCAGGTGAGAGGAGGCTGCCAACGTGGCCAGCAAGGGTAGAGTTCAAGAAGGGGCTGTGACTTCTGGCACCTCTGTCCAATTCCCACCACTTCAAGGCTTGGGAAATGTCCTTGCATGTGGCAAGATGCCTAGTGGTTCTCCAGGAACAGCTTGGGCTTGTCCTTGCTGGGGAGGGGGGTGTGGCTGGGTCACCGACTTCATTCTCTGCCCACTGGGTCAGCTCTATTTTCAACCTCGGATTCTCTAGGTATTACTACAATAAGAGGATCCTGCACAAGACCAAAGGCAAAAGGTTCACTTACAAGTTCAACTTCAGCAAGCTCATCATAATCAACTATCCTCTGTGGGAAGTGCGGGCACCACTGTCCCCCCACTTGCTGCTGGGGGCCCCAGCCCTGTGTCGTCCAGCCCTGGTGCCCTTGGGTATGCAGAGTGAGGTAGGCATGAAGGCAGCCGCTGTCCCCAGGGCCTCACCAGGCCCTGCCCCTCTTCCCAGGAGGCCCTCAGCCCTCCTCTCTGCCTCAGGGACCCATCAGCCTTCAATATTCTTCTCCCCCTGCATCCTAGTCCCAGAGTGGCCCAGGAGCAAGAGTATTTAACAGTCCATATGGTACAGCACCCACCTATGAGAAAGGGTGACTTCTGTGCTTGGCACCATTTCTTTAGTGGTGGATCATGGAAAAGGGTGTGGGGGTCTTACGAGAAGGTTCGGGTCGTCTGAGACTGCAGGCAGCATGTGGTAGTGGTTATTGATGAACGAGTATGAGAGTATTTCCTTGTTTTAACAACTGGGTGGTGGTACCAGTATGTGCTGGAGGAATATATGCCAGGGAGAGCCCATCCCACCCCCACACCTACTTCTCCTCCCTCCTCAGCTCCTGCACAGCATGCTGTTTACCCATCAGGCCATGGTGGAGCAGCTGGCCGGGCAGCGGGCCCCCCAAGGGCCACCAGGGACCTCTGCGGAGAAGAAAGGGAGCAGCGGCAGCAGCCACCGTGAGTGTTCAGGACTGGGGAGGGTCCAAGGGTCTCAGCCGGAGGAGGGGAGGGCCCTCCTGGCTGAATGCATGGCTGAGGGGGCATGAGACAAGGGATAATATACCAGTCATTCATTCATTCAACATTTATTGAGCACCAGCTATTTAGTAGGTGTGGGGGTACAGAGATGAAAAGTGGCCCTCAACAGGCTCAGAGCCTAGTGGAGAGCAGAGATGGGGGGGACTGCCAGTGACCATGCTGAGACTCAAGTAAGTACAAGGTGCTACAGGCACAGAGAAGAAGCTGGGGCTTGCCAGAGGGAGCCACACCTGAGCAGGTGAAGAAGGTAGAGAAAGACACCTAGGCAGAGGGAATAGCATTTGTAAAGCAAAAAGCTGTGAGCAAGTGTAGCAGATCTGGAGAACTGCTGGTCACTTGCCTTGGTCAGAGGTCAGAGAGGATGTGAAGGGATGGGAACCAGCAGGCAGGGTGAGAGATGGGGTGGCGAGGCAAACTGGTGTCTGGTTACGGAAAGCCTCGGAGCCATTCTAAGGGGGTTGGACTTTATCCTGTGGTCAGGAGGGGACCAGGAGGAAGAGACATATTCAGATTTTCATTTTATAAAGGTTACTCAGGTTGTGTATGGAGTTCGGGTTGGAGGAGACGTAAGACTTTTGAAGATAATGTAGGCAGATGACGGGGCCAGAACCACAACAAGGGCCACAGTGCAAAGAAGGAGGCTCAGCTGGAGATTGGGAAGATAAAGTTCGCTCACTCATTCATTTCTTCTTTCATCAGATGTTTAATGACCTCCTGTTTAATGTGCCAGGTACTGTCCTAGGGGCTGGGGGTGCCAGTATGAGCAAGACTGCCTTCACAGGGCTTGAAGGCAACTGGGGAGATGTGGACATTCAATTAATAATAGACATGTAACTATAACTGCATGAACTGCAACAGAGGAGAAGTTTAGGGCACTGAGGGCATCAGGGAAGACTTCCTCGACAAAGTGACATTGGAGCTGGGACCCAAAGTGTACATGGGTGTCAGCTCAGAGGGAGAGCCTGGCAAGCAGAGAGAACAGTGTGTGCAAAGGCCCTGAGACAGGGAAGAGGAACTGAGAGGAGGCCAGTGTGGTGTCATACATGCTGGCATTGGAAAAGAGGATGAAAATGTAGGCAGACGTCAGCTCTTACATGTGCCATAAGGTGGGAAGTGACAAAATTAGATTTTCTGTGAAGAAGATCAAAGAGACACCTGACCAACCTGAGGCTCTTGTGCAAAGGTCCAGGAACTACCCTTGCACTCCAGACAATTTCGTGGAGTAAGGGACCCTTGGCCTTCACTCCACCCTGGTGCAGCTGGGGACCCAGACTCTGTACCCCGATGAATGCAGCTGAGGCCGTGGGTGTGGGGCAGCCCAGGGCCTGCTGGGACTCGCTGGGCCACCGGTCTGGCAGCCTGGAGCTAAACAGCACCTGAACAGCCCTCCCTGTTCCTCCACCCCCACCCACCTCCTCCCAGCTCTGGGAATGCCTTGGGCACAGAGCGTCTCTCTTTGGGAAACTATGGGGGGTGGGGGGGAAGCGTTCCCTCCCAACCCCCAGCTTGAAGTGGGCCATTTTGCACCTCCCTCGCCCACCGCAGGTGCACACACATGCCCTGCCTATTCTTGGGCCCTACATGTTAAGTAGGTTTAGGCCACCAGAAGGTTAGTAGCAACCACATGTCCCACTTCTGGATTGGGATTCTAAAGGCTGTGCCAGCCCGTCACCTGCAACCTCACTCCGAGGAAGAGAGGAAGCTGCTTCCAGGCACAGGAGTGCTGGGACTAAGGAGCCAGAGTCAGGCAGCCGCAGGGCTGGTGTCAGAAAGGGGGTGGGAGAGCGATAGGAGGACGCTTAGAAACATCTCCTCCTCATGCCCACCGTGCTGTGAAGGGAGACACAGCCCTGACCTCAGGAGCTCCAGGGACACAGCACTGCCAGGGGAAAACATCGGTCTTCACCTCATCAAGGACCCAAGGAAAAGGACAACGACCCAGAAAAAGGGTGCGCTCTGGCAGAGTCTCCACGCTTTTCCTCACGGAAGATCATTGTTACTGTTCTCTCCCTTCCTAGATCCGACTTCAGAAATAGTGCTCCTATCAAATAAACTGGATGTATCAAGTAGTAATTAGTTTGTTTTTCCAGGTTTTATGGACTTTAGGCTTTTTGAGATATATAAAATGGTGTGAAGTTCTATATAATCATCTCCAAGGACCTTAGGCTGGGAGTCCCTATTGTAGGATCCTGGCAGTGTAGGAGAGGGAAAGAGGGTGGATGTGGAAAGAATGGGAAGAGGGAAGTTTTCTTGGAGGAGGAGAGTTATGGGCCAGAGCCAGACAGAGAGGAAGCCTGCGGCTCACCCTATATCTGCCCTGGGCCTCAAAGCCATGAATTCCGCAGGTCCCTTCTTACCAATGATGACACTTGATCTCAGCTAGGAGAGGGGATTTTATGGGTGAAGAAACAGAGGCCTGCAAATTTAAACAACAAGCCCAAGGCCACACAACAAATTCTTTGCCCAGCTAGAACTAGAGGCCTTGGCTGCAGGGGCAGGGAGAGTGGAGAATGGATCCATTCAGTATGGCAAAGAATACACTTCATTTATTCATTCAACGTGTTTTTATTGAGCACTTAATATGTGCCAGGCTGGGCTGGACTCAGGGGAGAATAAAACAGATACAGTTACTGCCCCCACAGAGGCCAGGACACAGATATGAAATCAGCACATAAATGAGTACATGACTCTAATTGAGCTACGTGCCCTGGAGCGAGGACAGGCAGGTGGAGAGTGGTTCTCACCTAGGCTGGGAGTATTGGGAGGCTTCCCCAAAGAGATGACATTTATGATGAGACCTGAAGAAAAGCAAAAAAGGAAGGGAGGTGGTGAAAGGAAGAGAAATGTTCAAGAAAGAGGTAAAAAGGAATGATTAATGGGAGGAGCAAGGGGCAGCTTGGAGAGATGGGGGCTCACTCTTGACCTTTTTTTTCTGTTTATTGCAATATATTTTATGTCATGGATCATAGCTTGATAAAAACAGAAAATCTCTATAAGTTCACATATTAATATACATCTTGAAATATTACAGCTGTACTTTTAATATAAAGATATATTAAAATATAACAGAACATGCTGTACATGTTTTGTCATTGTTGGTGTTATAGAATACTTCTGTTGACCTTTTCTCTCTTTCTCTTTCTCTTCCTCTTTCTCCAGGACTTGGCTCTGCTCCAGGCCCCTGCCAGCCCGGCCCCTGCTGCCGTTTTGGGAGCCTTCGAGGCGAGCTGCCCAGTTTTGCCTCCTTCACCCCTCCCCTCCCACCCTCTCTTCCCTCTGACTGGACCCACCTCCCAGGACCCTTCTTGCCTCCTCTCCCCTCAGAGCAGCAGCTCCCAGGGTCCTCCAAGCCAGACACCCTGCTCCCAGGACCTGTGTGCCCCCTGGGGACCCTGCATTTTCCAGGGCTTCCCCAACTGGCTAGGCTGGGACAGGGTGGGACTGAGAGGCTTGAGCTCTTGTCCCTTAAGCCCAAGGGGCTGGAGGTAAAGCCTGATCCCTTGATGAGGGCAAAGGGGTGCCTGGATCCCATGGGTGGCTTCTCACAGGCCCATGGACTCAACACTGGGGAGGAAAGCCCTGTGTCCCCCAATCTGGGGACTCTCAAAGCAATGTGGCCCTTGGACCCTCCTTAGTTGGAGAGAAAGATGTAAAGCAGGGAGGGGTCCTCCAAACTCCCTGTCTTCTCTTGCCCACCTCCCTCTGGTTTTGTACCTTCCCCTGGCTGGACATGGGCTGAAATTGCAGAAGGATTTGAAGGGGTGGGGTTAAACCCAAGGTGCAGGGGTAGGGGGTGGGGGTGGGCATTGCAGGGAAGAAACAAATGTGGAAACGGGGAAAACTGAGGCAGTGTACTCCCTCCTCTCCCACCAAATTACTAATCCAACTAAGATTACATTCTTAATCTCAACATTTTTTTAGGTAAATGAGGCTAAGCTTTGCATCATTTGAAGCACCCCCATATCTGCCCACATGAGGGGAAAATAAAGGGGTTTGCTGGGGAGGAGGCAGGGGTTGTTTCATCCACAGAGTCTCAGGTTGTTTTGTTCCCTTTCTTCCCTGGGGCCCATCTCCCTAATCCAGGCTAGAGTCTCCAGTCCCTCTCCTGCCCCTTTGTGCATTTCTCTCCCATCCCTCTTATTTCTGAGACCCTGGAAACTCCAGTCCCATGCAGGCACTTCCTTCTATCTCCATTTCCCTAAGACCCAGGCAGGTGGGGTAGGAAGGGCCTGGCCTCCTCAGCTCTGTAATACTCCACTGCCCATGAATAAAATGCATTTGGCAAACTGCCCTCTTGGGCAATCACTTCCCTCTGGTGGGCCCCAGGCCCCTGCTGCACTTCTGCGTTCTGATCTGGTGTGGCTGTAAATCCCACCCAAGAGACCCGACAAGAAAAGGGCACGGGGGTGTTGGGGGAGGGCCTGAGGCCTGGAGTAGAACTGGAAATCAGACCAGCCAGTCTCCTTCCTCCTGCCATCACCTCCAAAAGAGAAAAGCTGAAAGAAATGGTAGGAAACAAGACTCAAGGAAAGAACTTCAGAACAGAGTAGGGGTCTTTACAGGGTAATCTCAGATTCTTGTGGAGGACCTTTGAGCAGAATTCTAAGGGGTTGGATAAGAAAGGAGGGCATTGGCAGATATCATGGTAGGAAACAAGACTCAAGGAAAGAACTTCAGAACAGAGTAGGGGTCTTTACAGGGTAACCTCAGATTCTTGTGGAGGACCTTTGAGCAGAATTCTAAGGGGTTGGATAAGAAAGGAGGGCATTGGCAGATATCCTTCTTCCTCTGCTCCGCAGGCCCTAAGAATGACAAGCAGAGCAGACTTGAAGCATCAGGTGTCTGGGGGAATGGACGGACAGGTGAGAGAGAGAGTCTTTTGCTCAGCCAAGGACATGCCAATAGAGAGGTTTACTCCCACAACCAAGGCAACTGCTCTCCTATCTCCAGGCCTCCAGTTACACACTTAGGATTGGTCTCTACTTCCTTTCTATGACATGGAGCATGAAGTAAGGAGCTCAGAAGACCCGTTTGCCCATGGCTTGTCTCTGTCCCTCAATCCAAAGACTAGGTATGCGTGCCCCTCTAGGAGGCTCCTGAGCACTGGTGTTCTGCAGCCTCTTAATCCTTCTTTGTGGCAGAAGTATTACCACACGACTGGAATGGGGAAGGAGAGACCCAGGCAAGGCAAGGGTAGGCCCTCCCTCCACAGAAAGGTTGAGATGGGCAAGGAACCCAGCCCCTGGGTTTCCAAGCCAGACCTAGGCCAGGAGAAAGGACCAATGAGAGTTTTTTATCTCAGTCTCCCTCCCTCAGCCCAGATGCACCTCCCTCCACAGAAAGGTTGAGATGGGCAAGGAACCCAGCCCCTGGGTTTCCAAGCCAGACTTAGGCCAGGAGAAAGGACCAATGAGAGTTTTTTATCTCAGTCTCCCTCCCTCAGCCCAGATGCAAAAAAAATTGAGGACCCCAGAGTCTTTCTCCCAAGAGTTCCCAGGGCTACAATGAAAATGCTTCTCACTTTGCCCCCAAAGCTTCAGGCCTATCCCCAGCCCTGCAGGAAGGACGTACCCCTAGGGGCTTTCCCATCACCCTGCCCAGTTTGGGGAGACAAAGAACTAGTGTTGTTTGCTCTAGCACAAGGAACTGGATGGTGCTGCCATGGGGCTTGGGCCCTGTTCAGAGGCCAGCCACAGGGACGGGGTTTTTCTCTGTAATGGAAACTCTCCTGTGCTCTCCGCCTAACCCCACCTCCTCTTCAGTGGTTTTTGGTGACTATGACCCCCACATTTCAGGCAATGAAAAATACTTTGAGGTCACTATTCTAAAATTTCCCTTTGGAGTAGATGAACGCAAGAGACTAAAAGCTCATCTCCAGAGGACTTAAACTTCCTGGTGGTACACTCTGCATCCTAGGCAACAGATTCAAGTTGAGCCAACCTTCTCAACCTGGGCACTATTGACAGTTTTGGCTGCATAATTCCTTGTTGTGAGGAGTTGTTCTGTGCATTCCCTGATGTTTAGCAGCACCCAGGGACTCTACATAGTAAATACCAGTAGCACCTTCCCCCATCCAGCTGTGACAACCAAAAATGTCTTCAGACTTTATTAAGGTATCTCATGGGCAGAGGGGGGAAATCGCCCCCAGTTGAGAACCACTTAAGTAGAGAATGGCTTCAGCGAATCCAGAAGTTCTGGCAAAGATGGGACCCTGGCTCCTCCAACGCAGGGAACTGTTGGTCTCCACATTGGAAGAGTGCCCTCTGGTGGCCAGAGTCAGTACCAGCAGTCAGAAGGGTCCGGAGCTCTTTAGGCTGGGTGGGGAGAGGGCTGTTTGTGAGAATGAGGTGATGAGCAACCTGGGAGCCTCTTAGAGGAGGAAGGGAGTCACAGGTTGAAAACATTTATGAGAACCCCCCCTTAGCAAATCATGGACGTCCACCAAAGGACTGCAGGTTGTCAGTTTCTGGTACAATCCGGTTCAGCCATCACCTTCAGACATCACACCATCTGGCTATCTGTGACTGTCAGCCTCACCTGGGAATAGCATGGTATGGATACTCAGCCTTCTTTCAGGAGCAGTGGAAACCAGGACAAGATGCAGCAAAGTCAGCCACCAACTCACCAACACCCCTGCTCCTCGGGCCTCAGCTCTATCGTACCAGAGACACAAAATAGACCCACTCATAGGCTTCGAGAACTTTAAGGAATCAGACTCCCAGGAACGTGAATCTTACACTGTTAAGAGCCAGAAGGCACCTTTGAAATCATCATGTTCAATCCCCCTAATTTTACAGCCTAGAGAGAGGAAGGGACTTGTTCAAAATCATACATATGGAAGAGCCGAATTTAGAATATAAATTTTCTAATTATCAGTTCATGTTCATATCACTATAATCATTCAGCTAGAGTTTAAGAGGTATTTAAAATTCCTTAGAAATAAGGGTATATGTTGAGAGGAAAATTTTTAAAGTTATTCTTGTGTGATTTTTAATATGACCATAGTAGTAAGCATTTTCCTTTTCATGTGCATTTTGGCGCTTGATTACATATTGTCCGGTGCTGTCCTCTCATTGTACATGTGCATTGATATTGTGTCCCCATAAAGCTGGTGTACTCAAGGTAGTGCAGTATCTAATGCTTGTTAGATGGGAAGGTGTTTGGTCACTAGACCACTGATTACCATGTGGAAGAGGCCTTAGAGATTTAAAAACAAAAACAAAAGCATAGTATTTGCTGCCCCGAATTGTTGGTGGCAGTGAGAATAATCCCCACCTTCTCCCTTTTATTCCCTAATGAGACCCTGACCCGGAGAGGGGAGAAAAAATTCAAGCACCATACACGTTTTATATATATATATATGTATGTATGTATGTGCGTAGACACACACACATATATAATTCAGCAAACATTTATTAAATGCCTAACATGTGCCAAATACTGTGCTGCCAGGTGCTGAGGAGCAGAGTACCCTGCCCTTATGACGCTTTCATCTGTGAAGTGTCACAGACAGCCTGAGGGAAGTCACAGGTGAGACGGGGCAGTGGAGGAGTGGCCGGGAGAGGCCGCCCTGCAGATGGCTGGTTGGGCTGTGCAGGGGCCTGGCTATCCTGCAGGGGGCTGAGTACACAGCACTTGAGATGCCAGGTTTCTTCATAATTCTTCAACATCTAATTTAAACATAAGTTTTGTTTAGCAACCAACTTACTTTAAAATACCTAAAAGTAAATCTTGAGAAGTCACCTCTAATCCTGAAACTCAGAAAGCCAGGCAATATGTGCCAATTATTTATAAAGTTACCATAACGCATATACAATTCTGCGGTCACTTTTATCCATCGAATCTTACTTCATAAACACTTCACCATGTATTCACAGCTACAGCTGATCATCTTAACCATGGCAAATATTCTGTCATGTTGATTCAGCGTATATTTAACAATTACGTTTTTGGTGATCTTTTAGGGTGTTTCTTGCTGTTTGCTTTATAAATAAAATTGTTTCAAAACCTTTGTTTGTAGTTATAATATTTCTTTTTTTCTTTGTATTAATTCCTTGATAAAAATTCTCAGGAGTGGAATTACTGGGTCAAAAATTATGGTATTTTAAGGGCTTTAGATACATATTGCCCAACTGTCCTCCAAAAGGATTATAATATTTTTTAAAAGTCACTTTTGCACACTACTCACTATGAGCCAGACATGTCCTAAGTGTTTCGTGTACATCAGCTCAACTAATACAACAGCTTTAGGAGGTAGGCACTATGGTCATCCCATTTTACAGATGAGGATGTTAAGGCATAGAGAGATAAAATAACCTGCTCAAGATCACATGCCTGGCAAGTGGCAGAGTTAGGGCTCCATAGTCTCTGCTCAAGTGCTGGCCTACAATGCCAACTGCAAAGAACAGGTCCTCCTGGAGCCTTAGCAGCTGTGAGCCTTCCCCATCTTTAGCTATTTTTATTAGTAAGAGTAAACCGGTAGGTCACTACTGTCTTCTCTGGTACATCTTTACATAGATGCTCATTTTAAATAAATGCTCATTTGCTATTTGTTATTTGGACTTTCCTGTTTTAAAATTAGGAACAAGGACTACCTCACTAATACAATATTGAAAAGATACTTTAAATTCATAAG